GATCTGCAGGCACAGACCCATGAACAATGGTGGTCATGGCTGATGGTGAGAAAGGCCAGTGAGGGGAGCAGAGGGCCAGGGACTTACGCTGCAAGTTCTTGTTCTCCCGCTTCATTGTTTCCAGGTGGTCCAAGGACTCCTCATAGGCATTCTTCATCTTGAACAGCTCCGTGCTCAGAGAGCGCGACTCCTTCTGCGAGGCCTCCAGCTCAGCCTGTGTTTCCTCATACTTCTGCTTCCATTCTGCCAGGATCTGAAGAGAAACGGGGTGTGAGTCGGGCTGTGGCCACCACAGGGGCATGCTCTGGCCAGGAGTGCTGGTGCTGGAGGCCAAAAGACCTTGTCAAAGTTCTTCTGCTTCTTATCCAGAGCAGCACAGGCAGCATTGGATCTCTCCACATCAATCATCAGGTCCTCCACTTCATTCTGCAGCCTCTGCTTTGTCTTTTCCAGGGAGGCACATTTGGCATTGACAGCCTCAACCTGTTCCTCTGCATCCTGCAGACGCTGGGCCAGCTTCTTCCTGGAAATTGGTAAGCACAGTTCTTAAATGGATATGAAAGTGGATGTTGATTATAATATTCACCAGATCACATGAGACACTTTTTAGTATTTGGTCCTAATGCACATGGTGTAGAGCCTATCCATAGCAGTCATTTTTTTCCTATTTGATTTCCTCGAGGTCTTCATAGAATCATAGAGTCACAGAATTGTTTGTTTTGGAGGGGACATAAAAAATCTACTAATTCTGTGCCATGGGCATTGACATCTTCCACTACACCAGGTTGCTCCAAGCCCTGTTTAGCCTGGCCTTGAACACTCCCAGGGAGAGGGCAGCCATACCTTCTCTGCAGTCTTGCAAATTCCCATACATGTCTTTTCACCTTCAGTCTTTATCACTGAACCCTTTTTTCTTGTGTTTCTTTGTTTCATATAACTCCTCAACCTTCTATTAGGCTTTTGCCTTTGAAAATCTCAGTGGTGTCTAAATTTCCCTTATTGGTGTATGTCAACCTTCCACACAATGCCCACGTACTTGGCCTCCTCAAGCTCCTCCGTGCGCTGAATGGCGTCTGTCTCGTATTTGGTTCTCCACTGAGCCACCTCGCTGTTGGCCTTGGACAGGGCTCTCTGCAGCTCCCCCTTGGCCTCCTGCTCCTCCTCATATTGTTCCCGGAGCAAGTCACAGTCGTGGCGAGCGGACTGCAGGGCGTGGGCCAGGGCGCTCTTGGCCTGGTGGTAAAAATATGGCAATAAGGAATAGGTGTTTCCTGAAATTTCTCTTACTGGTATTTAAACACTGATATACATCCCAAACATATAGTGATTAGCCTGATAAAAACATGGGGTTCCTTCACTGCAAGGGTCTAAATTGCATGATCTAAGAGGATGGTTTGAACTTTTCATTGGATCACCTTTTGAAGTCTTGAACACATCACTAAAACCAATAATATGTCAAATATTTATTTAATATGTAACATGAATATCTTCACCTTTATCTCTTCTTCTAGCTGCCGCTTCAATTCTTCAATCTGCTGGGTGAAAGCCTGTTTCCCTCTAGACAGCTGAGAAATTAAAGCATCTTTTTCCTCCACCTGGCGTCCATATTCACCTGAGAAAGTTTTCAATTTAGAAAACATTTTAATAGCCAAGAGAACAATTTATGGAGTTCTCCCATTTTAAAATTGCAGACAGAAGGGCTGTACCAGATTCTGTTTGCAGACGAGCTCTTTGAGCGCTAAGATCACTAATCATGCGCTGATTCTGCTCCTCCTTTGTTTTATATTCACTCAGCTGGTCTTCCAGTGTGCGGCACATCTTCTCCAGATTTGCCTAGATATCAATTGCACATAAAGAAAATGAGTAATTACCTTGATCCTTCCTTCTTTTAGCAAGAAAATATGTCCAGAAGATGTAGTTGACATATCTTGGGACTGTACATATGCCTACTTCTATATGTAAGATTTGGATAAATTATTTATAATATAGCCTGATAAAAATTAAATAAATAAGATTAAAGAAAAATATCACATTGCTATCAAATTCCTAATAAAAATAACTGTGTACCTTGGCTTTAGACACAGACTCTATATTACTGGCCAAGTCATCAATCTCCATCTTCATCTCACTCTTCTCCTTCTCCAGCTTCTGCTTCACACGTTGCAGGTTGTCAATCTGCTCCCCCAGCTCAGCGGTGCTGTCCGCGTGCTTCTTGCGCAGGGCGGCAGCCGTGGCTTCGTGCTGCAGCGTGGCCTCTTCCAGGTCCCGCCGCATCTTCTGGAACTCTGCCTCACGCTTCTTGTTCATCTCCACCTGAGCTGCTGTGGCCCCTCCTGCTTCCTCCAGGCGCTCACTGATCTCCTCCAGCTCTCTGGACAGGTCAGCCCGATGCTTCTCTGCTTTAGCTCGAGAGGTTCGCTCTGCCTCAATTTCCTCCTCCAGCTCCTCAATGCGCGCCTGCAGAACAGGAGGGACCCTTCACACCCGTGCCCTCCTCCTGCCTGAGCTGAGCCTGAGCAAGAGAGGGGAAGGAATGCAGACTTACCTGCAGCTCCTTGATCTTCTTCTGAAATTGCATTCCTAGAAGTTGCTCATCCTCAATCTTGCTCTGGATCTGGCTGATTTCAAAGTCTTTCCTTTGGACCAAAATGAACCATATTAGAGCTCAAAGAAAGAAGACAAGTGGTCCAGCCCAGTACTCAGGAGCCCCAGAGCCACACTTACTTCTTCAGTTTCTCATCCAGCTGCTGCTTATCATTCTCCAAATCCATGATGCTGTCCTGGGCCAGCTTCAGGTCTCCTTCCAGTTTCCTCTTTGCTCTCTCCAGGTCCATGCGCAGTTTCTTCTCTTGCTCCAGGGACCCTTCCAGCTAAACACAACAAGACCTTCAGTGCTCTACCAGCCAGCTCAGGCTCCATACCTGTCCTGTTCCTGCTCTGTGTCTGGGTGCTTACATCATCCACTTGCTGTTCCAGCTTGATCTTGGCTTTGGTCAGAGTATTAACTTTGTCCTCCTCTGCCTGCAGGTCATCCAGGGTCTGCTGATGGGCCTCTTGGAGGGCTTTCTTCTCTTTTGTCAGCTTCACAATTGTCTCATCCAGGCCGGCCATCTCTTCAGTCAGGTTTTTCACCTTTAGGAAGAAAGGAACAAGCACAGACACAAAATTGTGATTAAAACTTTATAACAAATCTTTCCCTTGAGTGCAGGTGACGGGTTCTACCTCATACCTTGTTTTCGGTGGCATGTTTTTCCTTCTCCACCTTGGCCAGTGTTAGCTCAAGGTCATCAATATCTTTCTTCAGCTCTGAACATTCATCCTCCAGTTTCCTCTTCTTGGCTGTCAGCTCAGCATTAATTTCCTCTTCATCCTCTGCCCTTTCTGTCACTTCTTTAACTTTGGCTTCCAGCTGTATTTTGGTTTTGATGAGCTGGTCACACCTTTCCTCAGCATCAGCCAAAGCATCAGCTTCCTGGTAGGGAGATGCCATTTTTAGGGATATGCTTCTTGAGGGAATATTGAGATACTTAACCTTCATAATGCTGGGTCTTGTGTAGCAGTTTTATAATTTAAAATTTGATTCATGTTCCAACAGAATTACATAGAATATAGAATTGATTTTATATTGTTAGCTTTGAAACAGACAGATTTAAAGCTAAAACCAAATAAAATCCTTTTCAACCCATGTGAAGACATGAGTATTTATATATTTGTACAGGGTATAGAATCCAATGTTATCTCATAATATCAGACATTGTATCAAAGTGCATAATCTTAAGCATATCTCAGCATACACCATAGAAAAGTGTCACACAAGTAATATTTTGGCTACAGGTACCTCTCAGTCCTTACAGAAGCTAGTTATACATTTGAGAGCACCACCGAAAGAATTACAATTGAACTGAACTAAATCCAACTTTCTATGTGGTTTGAAAATGTCCTTGTAAATATCAACCTGAAAGTCACAGCAGAATTGGGATAAAGCCCACTGGTGCTACTCACAGCCTGTACTTGGAGCTGCAGGTCATTTTTCTCCTGCACAAGTTTCACCATTTTCTCCTCCAGCTCCTTCCGCTTTGCCTCAGACTTTGCAAGCTCTTCCTTGGTTTTCTCAAACTCTTGTTTCATGTTGGCCATCTCCTTCTCAGACTCTGCACTCTTCAGCAAGGGCTTGATCTTGAAGAACAGCTTCATCCATGGCCAGTGTTTGACATTCATGAATGCACGAATGTTGTACTGGATGCAGTAGATGGACTCCCTGAAGGATAAGTTGAATTAATATTCAGTATTTACACCATGATGACAAAATAAGCCAAGTACAATGAACCTTATTTGAAGAAAAGTCTACCTCCTTTCCACCATTTTCTGGTACGCCACCCTCGCCAGGAAGCCCCTGCACCTGGCCTGGGTGCGGGTGATGAGCTGTGCCAGCTTCTCATCCCTCATCTCCTCCAGGAGACCCACCAGCCCAGCTTTGAAGAACACCTTAGGAAAGAACATGAAAACAGATGGAGTGTCTGTACTTTTTTAACATAACCTGATACCCTGCCCCCCATGACAAGCACTATGGAAGTTAAGAGCAAAACCACAAAGAACATCTGTAGTGGCAGACAGTCTTTTA